AAAAAAACTTGGGAAATTGTTTTTCCAACAGAAATAATTAGTCAAAGTGCAAAATTTAAACTCTCATAACTTCGAAATTTGTATAGATAGAATTTTTATAACATTTTTTCCATGTTCCTGGTATCTTACCTTACATGGCATTTTTCTCTGGGGCGCGAGTTCTGACCCAGCCTGTATTTTTTAATATTTTCCATTTTGTAGTTTGTTTAAATTAACGTTAATTTAATCAGATTAAGTTAATAGGGTTAACAAGCAAACAGGATTATTTGTTGACTATCTGTGAACAATTTGGAATGGATGTGAGTGTTTGCTACATCATCAACATGAACATAATGCAAAGGGCAATTTGATAGCGTCACGTTCCAAGTCCCGAAGTAGATATCTTGAGTCTGTTGGGTAAGAAGGCTCAATGCCGCTCTATTTACGGAGCCGCCAATCCCCATTAACGGCGTTCAGACCCAGCAAGGATCAGCGGCTACGATGGAGAGTGCAAATCCGCGTGAAAGCGATCTGCGTTCACCCCTTGTCATTCACGCCAACCCTCAACACTTGCGTTTCATCGCCTGTTGTTTCTCACATGCAATGTTCTCTCACCTGACTATTATTTATTTATCTTATGCAAAATCTATTGGTCACATATCTACCTCTTAAAAAGTCTTACAATTATTTTTTTATTGACAAATACAGGGTGATTTATCTCAGCTCCGGTCTTCTGTAGCTCAGTTATTATTTAAGTGGGAATTTTGATATTTTGTATTATTTATTTATATTCTAGAGCACATTTCAAGAAAATATTTGGTGGTCCAAAAATAATTCACAATACAAACTTATGTTTTTTTAAATGGAAACCATATGTTTATAGTTATAATAGTATAGTCTTAAAGTTCGTACTTTTCTCTTTACAGTGGTAATTTTTTTTCCAGCACTCTTATCTTTTTGTATAATAAATTTTTAAAAAGAGGATATTTTCGCCAAAAAAAAGCAACTTAATTCAAAAACTAAGCAAAATCGACTAATAAAAGTTTGGCTTAAAAATATTGAAATTAAAAGCTACATTCAAAAATGCCAAGAAACATATGGTGTTTCATTCAAAAAAAAAACATAAGTTTGTATTGTAACTTGTTTTTGGGTCACCCTATATAATCAAAAATATTTTCCTAAAATACGCTCTAGAATATAAATAAAGTCAACAAAATATCAAAATTTTCACTTAAATAATAACTGAGCTACAGAACCGAAGGTGAGATGTATAAGATGATGGTATATCTTGTATGTTAATTTTTTCAAAATAATTATTTGGTAAGAAAAAATGCTCTAGAAACGACATCGAGAGAAGTAAAACTGGTTAAGTTTAAGAGGCGAACTTTCTTCTAACCAGTTAATTCCATCTGAGGTAAAGTTTCAGTAAGAATGGCAGCTGAAAACTTAATTATATTGCTTTAAAATCTGTGTTAATGTGAATCGCTTTAATTTTACATAAAGGCGTGAAGTTTACGAGTTTAGTGACTCGGCAAAGTTGAGGAGGTGACGAGAACTTCGAAAGTGAGATGGGAGACGATGGTGGTGTCATGTTTGCGGCTGAACAACGCCAAAACTTGTAAAGAACATCGCCCTCTCAACTCGCGCCATGTTTCGCCAGCCCTTCCTATAAAGAAACAAGAACAAAACTGCCAAAAGCATGAATCTTCACCAAAGCACCGTTCTTAATTTGCATTTGGAAAGATTCCAAAAACCATTTCTACGTTAATATTCATAAACTTTATTAATCATTAGCAACGAGTGCATTGTGTTTTCATTCAACGCCATCTCGACTTTTATTTATTAAAATTGTCATTAAAATACTTGACAAAACGATTTTTTGGCAAATAACTCTGAATGTGGCAGGATTTGTGATAGGAATGTAATTAGAAAAAATGATTGTTTTTTTTAAATTTAGCATTGAATGAACTAACAATGAATACGGGTTTCAATTTAAAATAAGAAAAATAAAAAGCTTTTAAGTTTGATAGTAAATTGTGCACACCCTGTAGTAATTCGGATCTATCAAAGAGCACTATTTGTATTTTTTTTGTATACTCTTCCGAAAAAAGTTGTTTTAGGGACTCATTTGAGTCCCTAAAATGAGTCTTTTCCAGACTCATTAAAATAGTACGCAAAACGGTTATTTTAGGTACTCAGTCCCCAAAAACAGTTTTTGCGGACTAAAAAATAAAATTGGTTACTATGGTAACGAAATTTTTTTAATTAGAAAGAGGTGTGAATTCGTGTTTTGGGAGCTTTAACAAAAAAATCTTGTATACACCACGTAGACAAAAGGTTTTAGGTGACTCCTCTCATTAAAGACTCGGCTCCTACGTCGCCTCGTCATTAATTACGATTCGTCCCCTAAAACCCTATTTTACGTACTTGATACATAAATAGCTATTTATTAATTTTTAAAATTAAAAGTACAAAACCGATTTTTTTTGGTTTGTATTGTTTTTACAGTAATCCTTAACCGATTTGAATAAAAAAGTTAAGGATATGTAAGTAAATAAAAACCGTCCAGATAAGCCATTAAATACTTCACAGTAAGGACTGAAGTTATAGCAAAAATTTTGCTGAAAACAATAATTAAAAATAAATAAAAACAGATATTTTTGCTTATCATCACCTTTTTGACATTTTTTTGAAAATGTTGTGAATACGATTAAAGATACAAAAAAGTGTAAAGGACAAAGTTGTAGAGAATTTAATTTTCTTTATTAAAAATAGTCCGCGACAACATACCACTATCTTCAACGATTTCAATACTACAGTCAAAGATGCTTTAGTTTTGTTTGTACCAACGGTTCAGAAGCAATTTAAACCTAAACCATTAAAGATACAGATATTATGGTGTCTAGACTTTATCGAAGAAAATTTAATTTTCTATAATTTTGTTCCTAACACTTTTTTGTATCGTTAACCGTATTTGCAGCGTTTTCAAAAAATGTCAAAAAATATAAAATAAAGCTAAATTTTCTGATGGTTTATAATTTTCTTGTGCATTTTTTCGGTAAAATTTTTTCTACAGTTTTATTTCGTACTGTTAAGCAAGATCCACCGCTCTATCTGCCTGTGATTTTTGTTTGGTCTTCATTTAAATACATAGTATAGTCATTTTCTCATTTCGTTCAAAAGATCTATAAAATAGTATAAATAATTTAAATTTTGCAATATACAGGGTGAGTCTTAACTTGTACGCGTAAACTTAGGGAATGAAAGGTTATGATCAATCTAAGGTTATGATCTCTAAGAAACTTTTATTAGATTTTTTTTTATTATTAGTTATTGGAGAGTTTTTGCAAATCGTTTAGTTTAACGTTATTAACCTTAACAACAACGTCATTTTATTGTCATGTGTACGTCTATTAAGTGTGAAAGGCGTATCCCGTCAACTCAAAGACCTTTACATAAACGACTTATTTTTTGATTTCATAGAAACGGCCATTTCTCGTAATACGTTAAACTTTTTTACCTACGACCATATACGAAACTAGATCATAACGCACAATTACATATGCGCGAAAATTGGCAATATCGTACGAGGTCGAAAACCTGTGCGATTTGTTTTCGCGCTGTGTTAGAAATCTAACGCACAATTCACACTCAAATGTTTTGTATTTTTTCATTTAACGTATTTTGTCTTGTATCCATTACAAAAAATAAATCGTTATTCAACGTATTTTTGTATCCATTATAAAAAATAAATCGTTATGAAAAAAAAAATATGTTCGTAAGAAAAAAATTATTTATGGTCGTAGGAAAAATAGTGTACAAAACTTGCAGGAAAGTGTCTAACGCACTCGCGGGATTGCCTGAACTCGGCTAACGCCTCATGCGCAACTTTCCTGCTTGTGCGTTATTTATCACTTTCCGTGCTCGTTATGTAATATACTATTACCTATTATACCCTAAAATTATGCGTATAAGTTAAGACTCACTCTGTACTTAGTCATATTAATTTTACTTATTAGATTAATATTAATTCTAGTCCTAAATCAAAAAAATCTATTATTGACCGAAAAAAGAGATACCCACTTTTAAAATACAGTCAGGCACTTATACGTTTTATGCACTGCAATGGATTGACATGACCTTTTTTTTAAATTGAACATGGGACTATAATATGTTCAATAATAATAAAAACTCACTGTATAAGCACAAAATATTATAAATAAAACAATATTTTATAGAACTTTAAACAAGCAAAAGTTTAAAGCACACACAACAAAAACTTGATATGAAATTTGAATAAGTGAAGTTTGCATTTACTTGTTTGCAAATTTAAACATTAAGACCACTGCAATTTTTCAATTGCAAATGAAACTGTCGAAAAAGATATGTTTTTATTGCCGATCGTAAATCACCTTGTGATATACCGACGAATTCGATAATCTGTTTAGGCTTACATTCAATAAAAAGCACTTTGTGATAGGCAACATCCACTGCAAAAGGGTCACACGCGGCGTGTGTATATCAACACAACCATCGAATAAATCGAATCCTTTGTCGCAGGTATAATATAATTAATACCCCGCAGCGCTGATCTGTAATTCGAGCACTTGTCAATAATTCTTGTATTTACGACCATCGCTTCAGGATAAATGTTGTCGTTTTTTTCTACTCAAAAAAAAAATTAAAATAAGTGCCGGAAGTAGTGACCTTATGTCGCTACGCCTCCACGTCGCCAAGAGTTTCAATGCTTTAATTCAATATTGCACAAAATCATTCAAAAATTTATTTTTGCGTTTTTAAAACGTGTTTTTAAAACACTTTTCTGTGTCTCTTTGACCTCTGGGAATGCATTGGGTTAAATTTTGAAATTTTTGTCGATTTTCGGTTTTTAGCTAATAGGAGTATCTATTATCTTGTGTTTGGTGCCGTTGAAAAGCATTATTAATTTTCTGTCTTATAAAAAAAGTTCATTGTTCTGCGACAAATAGTTGTCAAGAAAATTTACTTTAAAATTTACTCACCGTCTTTGTTCATGCTGGCTTGGAAACACTTGGAAAGGCGACAAGCTCTGCACTGGTTGCGATGAGTTTTATCGACAGGACATCGTCCTTTCATATCTCCAGTTGCCTTGCAGGTGTAAACGCGATTTCTGTGAATGCTTCGCTTGAAAAAACCCGAACATCCTAAATTCGTAATGTCATAATCATTGTACTGAATTATAAAAAGTCTTACCGTCACAACTGTATATTCCGTAATGTTTTCCGGAACTCCGGTCTCCACACACTTTACAAGGAATGTCTAGGAGTCTGTCTCCTGTAAAAAATTTAAACTATATCCTGTGATAAATCGATTTATATTAACTACGTGTGAATAACAACAATAGAAGTTCCTTAGAAGCTGTAATAGTTGGCGAAACTAGTTCAATGCATATCAAGATATAATCTTGAATTGTGAATTCTATTAGTAGTCTGGTAAACTCCGTAGCCATAGCGACTCCTACATTTCTTGGACAATAAGGGATTAAAGTCCTCTACCGAGATGCCTTTGAAGTTTAACGTGTTCACGAGAGAATGTTTGTTTCTTGATTTTGTGTCTTAGCAGCTTCCAATTCATGCTGAGTAAATATTTAATTTGAAAGATTTCTCTGATCCCAACTATATAAGATGGTTGAATGCTCTCTTTGGGATGCAAATGTAATGTAATTTAACTAAATAAAGATAACAAAAGTACAGGAATACGCTTTTCATTTTATCCTACAATGTCCATTTTGGTTTTATATTATGAACTACAAAATTTTACTTATAATTAATAAAATCACAACCACTGCCGTAATAATATACAGAGAGATTAAAAAGTAATTATATGAAGTAGGCTATGGAGTAGCAGTCCGTATATTAAAAAATTACTGTATAAAAATTGTAATACAAGTTAAAACCTATGAAACTTCTCTCAACATTCTTAAATGAGATGTTTTTGGTGTTTACTCATACATATCGCATATGACGGACTCAAGATAAAATTTACTACAAAAATAAATTTGACATTCTCAGGTGTCATAAGATGTTTTATATTTCGCAGACATACATTCTAAACTTCTACGCTAGTTTGATAGAAGGACTTTTTGATTGCATTGTATTTAAAGTTACAACTACAGAGACATTTTTTTAACTCTGTACATAATCCTACGTTTAATTTAAAAAAGACAGATCACTGCATTGCTGCAATATTATTTTATTTAAATGAAGACAAACAGAAAAATGACAGGTAAATATTTCACTGAAAAAATTTTGCTGAAAACCATAATTCAAAATAATAAACAGAACAGAAATTTTTGCCTTGTCTTATGTATTTAACTTAAAAAAAAAACACTGCACATACATTAAAAATATAAAAAAGGACGATGTTGTAGATAATTAAATTTGCTTTAAAAAAGTTCCGTCACCATATCTCTATCTTTAACGGTTTAGGTTTAAATAGCTTTTTAGACACATCACCACCGATAGGTACACGTAAAATGTTTTCGTTACTAAAGCATTTTTGATCCTTTGTAGGAATACAAGGTGTTTCACACAATTTTACGAGTGCTGCCCTCAAAAAATCCAATCAGCAATACACAATTCGGAAAGAACTCGATTAAAAATATTGAATAATTGAAATCTTTTGTTGTTTGTACACCCCTCAAAAAATTGTTAATAATTAATGTCAACATTTTTTGACACTTAATGATTGAGGTAGATAGATAAAGACCATGTTTATTTTTGTGTTAAGTAAATACATACCTAATATTTATTTTTTTGAAAACTCTTGATGATTATGATTAATTTGACAACTACTTTCAAAGGTTTCCAAAAAAAAAATAATTAAATGTGTTTTTTGTATCTTGTGTTTTGTGAAAATTGTATTTTGGGGTGCGGGCATTAGGCGCAGACCTCGTAAAGTTATGTGAAATACCTTGTATAATATTTTTACATATTTTTTGGCTAGCAAATGAATAAAATACTTTTTTGTATACGCTCCCGAAAACAGCTGTTTTAGGAGCTCATCAGAGTCCCTAAAATGAGTCTTTTTCGGACTCAATAAAATAGTACGCAAAACGGTTATTTTAGGTACTCAGTCCTCAAAAAACAGCTTTTGCGGACTAAAAAATAAAATTGGTTACTATGATAACGAATTTTTTTTAATTAGTAAGAGGTGTGAATTCGTGTTTTGGGAGCTTTAGTAAAAAAATCTTGTATGCACCACGTACGCAAAAGGTTTTAGGTGACTCCTCTCATTAAAGACTAAATAAGCTTTCCGGCCACATACATGTTAAGTACGGGAAGTGGGCAAATACGGTATCAGAGCTAAGCAACAATTACGGGATTGTGATTTTTGACGCAATAAAATATCAAATCAATTTTTTGTCAAATATTCTTAAAACAGTAGGTAAGCATTACGTAAAATTATTTCCAAGTAAGTATACAGAGTGTTTTATAGTTTCAAAAATTAATTGCAATAAGCCCATATGTTTTACATTTCTAGGCATAGCTGTTATTGCTAAAGTTTTTATCAAGGTTTAATAAGTTTATTTTGTTTAATTTTTAAAAAAGCTAATTTCTTTTAAAAAAATTATTACACAAAAACTAGGTTTTCTAAAATAATAAGATGTTCACTACTTTAAAGAAGAAAGTTGAAACTTTAAAGCCATAATATTTTTATGGCGGATTGCAATCAAAAAGTCAAAAAAAAGTACCAATCAGAAGGTAAGCTCTTTATTTTCCACTGTCATGAAGTTAAAGTGTTACTTTTTTTTCTTCCTGTTAATCGCAGTAAAGTACATTATAAATAATTCAAAAAATATTATTTTAATTATTTTTGGTCATACCTACTTCATTCTGAAAATTATTTTTTTATAAAGTTCAAATATATGTTAGTGGGTAGTTCTAAAAAAATCGTTTTTACCAAGTTTAATGTAAACTTTAATTTACCCGTCACTGCAAAAAATATTGCAAACCCAAAGAATAAAAAACTGAATAAAAAAAGATTGGTTTAGTTGAAAAGTCATACCTGTTCCCATCCTCCGGCCTTGACCGGACCGAACCTTTCCCCAAATCGAAGAATCTATTTTGGCGTTTATTGAAAATAAGTGGTTTAATAACGAGGAATTACCTCGTAAATTTTAATAAAATTACAACTTCTTTAACTCGAACTCAATTTTATGAAAATCGAAACTAACAAACTTTTAAAAGTGGCGGGCAATTGTACACCAAAGCTGCCACAGAATGTGGTTGAAGAGGAAACGCGACTATCCGACTGATCATGAGCCACCGGTCTTCGGTCCGCAGGCCATTTTGTCACACCCCTACTTGCTATAATGTCATCCCCTCTCTTTCCATTCCAACCCCTTTTATGCATCGCACAGCCACACTATTCTTAGCAGCTGTCAAATCAATATCAACAAATAAAAAACACACTTATTTAAAAAATAAAAAAAATGATATACCTACTTATTTAATTTATTGGGTTGAATTTCAAATATGCGTTATTTTTAAGTAAATGAAAATGATTTCTAAATGAGAAAAGTTCTCGCGAATGCAATCGCTAATTCGGTGTAAACAGAATAAGAGAATTTTCCTGCAGATGTAAGTTCCTGCAGCAGACAGTAAATCGGTGGTAGCATCTAGTGACCCGTAATTGTACAGTGTGGGAACACGCAGGTGGGCGTAACGACTTGGCGGGGTTGCTCTTGAAGGCGTGTCGCTACCTTTGCCTAAACCAATCACAGTGGAGAGTAGGTGAACGTCAGTTACAGTCACATAGCTTCTCGCTTCAACTGAAGCTTGAAATGTGCTTTAGTTAAATATTCTGCTACATTTCTTCCTTCTAAAAAGTTCGGCTTAAAATCGAACTAAATGAAATGAAACAATTTTTTTTTTAATCTTTTGTTCGAGAATTCTTGTACTATCTCAATCGTTTAGAAAATACCTAACTTCAGACCCTTACAATAAGTTACTAATCCTACCAGTGCTGCGGCAAAAGGGTTGCAGGGCCAAAGTTTACCGAAGGATTTAATCATTTACCGCTCTGAATTTTAGGTTCGAAATATCTCAGAAAGTTGAATGGAAAAGTAACCTCACTCACTCATTTAATTTTAGAAAAAATAACAACATTTCATTAAAAATTAAATTGCTTTACAAACACTGCTTCTCAAACATCGACGGCAGAGAAAATTATTGACTCGGTTAAATTTTCAAATAAGAATTAACAAAATTTAAAGAAGTCCCACTTAATGTAAAACTGAGTAAAAATTTATACCGGCAGGATTATGTTAAACACCCGAAGCCAAAACTACATTATTTTTAAAGATATTCAGTACTTCTTAAAACAAAGTTGAACAATCGGTTGTCATCTATTGTGTGGAATAGATGCTCAATCAATGCTGCTTCCTGTTTCACCGGAAGTGACATCAATATTTGTTTTTTTTTAATTGAAACATTCTGTATATTTTATTATTTTTGGATTTCTCATTAAACTTTCAACAAGCTTACTAACTATTTTATTTATCACTAACTTTTGTTTTTAGACAAATTGAAAATTAAATTAAAAAGTAGGCTGTGGAAAGAATAGAACATTTGTATCTATTTTATCTAAGACAAGTAAACAACTGATAACTAAAAACTGTTCAACTTTGATCAAAGAATATTGTAATATCTTTAAAATTAACAAAATTATGCCTTGGGGCATTTTTTATAATTCAGCCTGTTCATTTTTTTTGTAGAGCAATAATCTTTAATTTGTTTAAAATAATACTTTGCAGTATAGTCTATCAAAGATATTTGTTTTTTAATTTTAAATTACACACTAAACTGTTTATGTGTTAGAAATTTGTCGTACAGTTGCGGAATTAAAATTTCGGACAGCATTGTCATTTTTACAATGTAAACTCTAAAACAACCTTTACATTATAACATTTTACCCTTGTCATGTTTATGTCATTTTGACATAAGAAACAGCGTCACTGACAGAAAAGTTTAATTGTCAAATGTCAGTCATGAATGTCATGATGACAGTAAAAGGTAGTTTACAGTGAACTTTTTGAAGTGACAGAAAAATACTGCCCGAAATTTTAATTCAGTAACTGTACAACCGACAACAAGACTTTTTAATTTTTTTCTTCTATAAAACTTTTGACACAATATTTTAGTATACAGTCATAAGTAAAAAAAAAAACATTAATAAACCGCTTTTTTATAATACCGCAGTTTTTGCTATTGAAATATCATTTTTTACTTATTGAAATTTATTTTTAAATTTGTTTTTATACAGTGCGATCAAAACATCTGTCTATCAAGTAAGCCTGGAAATTAAAACCGTGTGTATGCGAAAAATAAAATGTCACAATGACAAATAAGAAATCTCAAAATAATTTTTATGTAAACTATAACAGCAAATTGTGGTAAACACCAACTACATTTTACTTTAAGGTGTTTTAAAACGTTTCATTAGTAATTCAATTTGCTTATAGATCAATATTTTAATTTTTATATAAAATAATTTTTTGGCATACGAACTGCCAGGCCACATAACGTCTTCAACTAGTACGCCTACTTAATAAAAATACTTTTTGATTGCAC